AACATCAGTGACTAAGAGAATTAGACATTGGAAGGCCAAAGCATGAATATAGGCTTGGAAGATCAGACGCCTTGAAGGGAAAGAAGCCTAATATGTGTTGATTACTGTTGTGGGGATCTTTCCTCTTTTCTGTTTTTTCTACTGAGGGATGACTTGAAGGGATTAAATGTGGTAGATCCTTAATTTTTAGTATTCATTTCTCTCTCCTCTACATTTTATCCTGGCAAAGAAAAACATATATTTTTTTGTTTTGGTACTGAAGATTGAACTCAGGGCCTTGTGCTTGCCAGGTAGGCATTTAGGCTACTGAGCTATCTCCCTGGCCCCTGGCAAAGAAAAATATGTAGCAGTTAGTTTAATATGCCTCCAAACCCCCTGGTTAGATTACTTGTGAAAACCTCCAGAGGAAGTTGTAGGAAGGCCACACTGAGCTGGCTGAAGCTGTCCCTCAACTTTGTATCAAGGTTCCTCTCAGAGGTCATCTCTATTGGGCCTTGTGTTGGTGACAATTTCACTACAGTTCCCTTAGCCCTCTCCATGAGTTACAATTTAAATAAGCCCTTTTATTTTTATTTTTTTTTTAAATAAGGCCTTGTAAATGGTTCGGATTTAAACCATATTTCCTATCAGAATCCTGACTGATGCAGTGGTTGGTATCCAAAGTGGCTCAAGAAAATACATTCAGGGCTGGCAAGATAGCTCGATGGACAAAGCACCTGCTTTGCCAAGCACAGGGACCAGGGTTTGATCCCTGGTCCTACACACCATGCTGGCCCTGCCCCCAGAATGCACTGAGCCAGTGACCAAGTCCAGTGTGGTAGTGCATGCCTGGACCCAGTGCTGGGGAGGCTAAAAACAGGAAGATCACTGCCAGCCTGAGCTGCACAGTGAGACACTGTGCCAAATATGTAACATGGAAAAAAATTATATATAATTATATATATATATATATATATATATATATATTAGATCTTAGATTTATTTGGTCATATACTTAGAGGTGTAGGGATAACCTATTTTCTGGGAGAAATAACTCAATTATAATGACTCAAATTATAATGTACTGAGCTGGGAAAAATGCAAAAGGAGGGCAAGATGCTGTTCATACGGAAGTTCTAGAAAGTTCAAGCATGCCAATTTCAGTGAAAATCCTCAGGAATTTAAAATAATTTCTTGACTCACAATGACTATTATCCATCTGAAAGTAGCTCTTGGCTTGTTATTGGTGAAGGCTGAATGCTTAATCAAGAATGAAACATTTATGTCCTCTAAACTCCCTGTCATGAACTTAGTGTTACTTGATGCAATAAATTATGACATTGGGCATGCAGAAGTGATCTATCACAGTATGGAAAGAGGGACCTAGCAGATTAAGAAAGCTCGGTGAGCAGGAGACTTACACTCACATATTACCTGCTTCGGGGTTTTTCCTTCCCCACATATCGATGGCCTCATCAGCCAGTAAAGGAGGGAAAAGTTCAGGTTTTATTTTCAGACAGACCTGTATTGTAAGCCTGTACCAATAAGAAATAAACATCCTGTCATGGTTTGGGGTTTTGCAAGAGGAACAGGCCATTTAATTATAAGATTTTTTAAAAATGAATCACCCAAAGAATTATATACAAAGAGTGCAGGAAATCCATCCACACTCTAAAGACCAAAGACTCCAGCTGAGGGCCTGGGTTCCATGACAGCATTGTGCATAAGCCCAGCTGAAGACCTAGAGCTCATAACAGTACCTCCTACAAGACTAACTGGAGGGCCAAATCCCATGACAATGTCTCAAGCAGGTCTGCTTCCCGCGTCTGCCCTGGGAAGGCCCAGGGGTCCGTGGTAGAAGGTAGAGAGCCTGTGCCAGCTGGATGAGGGATCTGTGCTAGCAAGCTGAAGGATCTGAAATGGCACCAGGAAGCAATGCTAAAAGTAAGAACCAGGGCACCCCAGAAAGCACCTCCACAGGCATCCTCAGCAACAGTGAGTCCAAGCTCCTCTTACAATGAGAACAGCCAAGTTCCCCAGGAAAGCTGGCATGAGAAGTGCCTCCAGTAGGATAGCCCAAGAGAGGCAGCAGCTCCCTCCCAGCCTCCCAGCTGCTTCTCTGCTTCTGCCTCTTACGCTGCTGGCAGCCATCCTCAGGTGGGCCTCTCAGAGCCCGCACATGCTAGTTCAGATTCCCTCCTCTCCTAGGTTCTAAGCATCCGTTCCCCCACCACTTCTGGTCTAATGTCAGCTCTTTTCTGGGCCAAAACTCTCCTGCAGGGATGGTCTGCACAACAAACTGCTTCCTATTGCTGTTTAAACACTTGCCATTGATGACTAACCCAGTCCAGAGGCTTAAGCCCCCTCCAGCGATCGGATTGACTGAAACATCAAGCCCAGTGACCAGACACACACGTTCTGCGAGCTCAGGCTGGTACCCGTACCCCTGCAGCCAGCTCAGATTTCAGCATCTGTGTCACTGGCCCCAACCTCCCATTCCTTACCTTCACTGAGAGGGTAACAGAAGTTTATAAGCTTCTGCCTCATCCCTAGATAAGGCCTGCCTTTGACCTCTGACAGTGACAGCGAGCCTGTATTTGTTGACTATGTACAGCACACAGCACAGAGCTCTAGAAGAATAAAAAACAAAACAAACCAACAACAAAAAAAACCCCCAGCTCATAGCCAGTTAAAAGACCAACTATGTCTGTAGACACTCCTTCCTGCACACACATATAATCCAGGTATACATCAACTGCTTCTACAAATTTCAGAAATCCAGCCTTAGATCTGCTGAAAAATTTGCCTAGATAGCTTCTCCTAAACTCACTCTGAAGACAGTGTACTCAGACCCTTCTCTGGTCACTCTGGAGGCTGGCCAGTCCATGCAAAGCTGAAGCCTGATGACACTGTTTACAGGATTGCTTCAGACCTAGTTTCCTCAGTCTGGGGAGAGAGCTCCGTGGCTTAGGTGCCTGCATGTAAGCACAAGTTCCTGAGTTCAATATCAGTGGGAAAAAAAAAAAAAAACCCAAACCTAGTCCCTTCGATTTTTGTGTCTTTTCGAGTTGCTTACCCAAGTCCTGGCTTCCCGGCCCCCTGCTAACTGCATATGTATGGCTGCCCCAAGACAATAGGATGGCCAAGAGTCATGAGCATCCATGACACACTGGACATGCTCCTAAATCAGATCAATTTTCTCAGTCCCTTACCAGAGTGAGTTTAGGGGAAACCCTATAATAAGGGAAACAAACCACAAACTCCTGGTGGTAAAACTTTGGGGACTTTGGCTAGGGCCCATCCTAAGATCGCTGACAGTCCTAATGTTTCCACTTCTAGGTGGGCCTTGTCTCCAAAGATCACATGTAACATGATCAGTAAAGACTTGCTGGGGAACCTAAAGATTATAAATGGACTTAATTCATAAAAAACTGAAGAGCCTGTTTTTTTTTTTTAAATTTTAAAGAAAAGCATTGGTGCTAAAAAGAAGAAAAACAAGGTGGGGGGAAGGGGAATGTAGCAGAAAATACTCCCTCCCCCACCCCAATCAGTATACTGCAGTTTCTTAGTTGCCCAGGTAACACCTCCTGTTCCAGATCCAGTTGCTTCTGTCTCTTAGAAACAGCTGCTCACTGAGATGCAGAGCTGGTCGCTGCAATGCACACTGCATAACCCCCAAGTGACAGGTCCTTTGCCTCTACTTCCTGCTTGCTTATCCCATATAAGCCCTAGACTAGCAGAGATAAGGGCCTGACGTTCTGCAAAAGATCCCCTAAATAAATCTGCTTACAAATCCTGGGTGCGGTTTTTTTTTTTTTTTTTTTGTTTGTTTGTTTGTTTTATCTTTTTAGTGTTTCTGCTTTCACTTTTACTTCTGTCTTCTAAGGACTTTCAAGATGCTGTCTAAGGGCCAGGCATGGTGGTGCATGCCTGTAATTGCAGCACTCACCAGGCTGAGGGGAGAGGATCACTAGGATTTCAAGGCCATCCTGGGCTACAAAGTGAGATGTTGTCTCAAGAAATAAAATGCTTTCTAGTTTAACTGTCAGAACAATTCTCTTATAATAGGTCTTCTCCATTAGCCTCTTAATCTCTCTATGGCATTGTTCTGGGCACTTACCACCATTGATCCAATCAGCTCACATAATATTGTTTAGTATCAGATTATTCCCACTATATAGATGAAGAAGCTGAAGCACAGAACAGTTAAGAAATGTCACATGAGGGCCTAACCTCTGTCCTATAAGACTTCTCTGCAGGAGCAGGAGTTGTTTCCCATACTTTTACAGATGGAAAACTAAGACCTAGAGAAAGTGTACCTCACTGAGCTCTGCAGTTAAGATTAAAATCCAGGTCTGTCCAAGTCCAAAGTTCATGTTCATCTCTAATATATTTTGGTGCTATGTCAGTACTTCCTTTCCAGGTGTCAATATGACTACAAAGAGACTAGGGGATGCAGGTTCTTTGAAAATAAAATCTTCTTTTAAAATTGAGAACTTACAGATGATCTTTAAAAAGGCAAATCAATTCAGCTAGATCAAGAGAAACTGTAATAATAAAAATATTAGTATGTCGCAGGTTTACTAGCTAGTTCTTCCTTCAAATATTTAGTTTATATCTGGACTTAATCCATTAAAAAAGTAAAGAGCCCTTTTTATTGTTAAAATTTCTAAAGAAAGGTGTTGATCCTAATTCAAAATCACTGCTAGCAGACTTCCTAGGAGAACGTGGCTTTTCAGAATACTCCTCTTCCACAAGTTCATTGGCTAACATTAGCTCTACCACAGGTGAAGTAAAGGACACTGGTCATTTATCATTCACAGACCCAGGAAGTACATAAACCAGACCAGGGCGTAGAGCCTGAGAAGGGAAACCACACTGGCCAGGGTGCCAGGAACTTCATTCTGGGCTTTAGTGACAGGTTTTTATCTTCCACCGATGAGGCCAGGCACAGGCAGAACTGGCCCTGTGTGGGGCAGTACATTGAGCCCCAGCCCTCCAATGTAACAGACTTACATCTTCCTAACAGTGAGAATGATCTGCTTTTCAGATAACACCTTCCAGTCTATTTTCTGTTGCTGCTGCTCAGTACAGAAGAGGTAAGTTTGCCTTTTGGGATAACCTGGGAAACGAATTACTTCATGACATCTTTGTTCATTATTGCATTTTCATGTCTTTCTGTGTCTGCTGCTCTCTGTCTGGGAGCCCATCTCCCACTTTCTCCCTGTTGACTGCCATTCAGGGAAAGGGGTAGGTCAAATGTTGTTGGCTTGTGATTCTTCCTCCATTCGCCTAGATACAATCACCTCTTCCCTTGTGCTGTGTCCCAAGCTTGGTTCTGTAACCTTTATTTCATGCACATTGCCTATGTGTCCTCTGCGCCACTCTGTACTTCTCCCACCTTGAATGCAAGAATCCTGTCTTTGTAATCTGTGCTCCCCTGAACCACTAGGGAACCTAATACTTCGGTGCCAATACATGGCAGTATGAGAATCAAGTCGAAGGCATCCTATTAATGCTAACAGCTAATATTTAATAAGAATGTCCTATACATCAGGTGTTACTCTAGGAAATTTGCTTTTATTCATTTACACAAGTCTTTTTACAATTTTCACTTAACAGATGGGGAAATTGAGACTTACCGAGGTTACCTTGTTTACTCCAGGCCATGTTATGAGCTGGTGTGGAGCTGGGAGTCCAAGTCATGATCTCAAGCACCAGACCATGATTTACCAGAACAGACAGCATTAAATGAGAGCACACCCATTATAGTGATTGCTGCCCTAATCCACATCAGACTCTGTATGGGCAGTGACACATTCCCTCAGTTTTATTTCATAACAACTCTGCTTATCTTAGCATCTCCAGTTCTCAGATAAAGAAGCTTAACTTCTGAGAGTTGGCAATTCACCCAAGCAGAGAAAATGGGCCCTATCTAAACAGGTAGCAAGATAGCCAGGTTTGTCTACCATGTTTGGGTTAATCTAATGGGTTTGTGTGTACTGTTTATATGAAAGATCCTTTGTAATGTGATGGCTTTTCAATGTCAGACAAGTGAGAACACAAGTAAGCCTGAGCAATGATGAAGTACATTCAGAAAAATATAGCCCACATCGCAGGCCGTGGTTCAGCAGACCGTCACACAAGAAGCAAGTGAGTATCACTCTCACAGCGACATCTGTGCCCCACAGAGTGCTGCTTGGTGCCAAGGCCAGAAGTTAGGATTATGCTCTGCCCATAATAAGTGCTCAGTTAGCAGTGAATGAGTGTTCTAGAAGATAATGAAAGAAAGAAAACTTAAAACAGCCTACTGTGCTGTATTTAAACATCGGCCTTGAGGGTAGACAGCAAACAGGGAAAACATGATCTGGTTTTGGAATTTTGAGGTGGTGATTAAGTTAAGATTCAGCGTTGGGAACAGCAGTGTCCTGAAGAAGTGAGGTAAACTCAAACACCAGCTCACGGCCCAGGAAAGGAAAGGGCCATTGCTCTCCTTCAAAAGACAAGAATCGTCACCGAGAAACCACTGAAGGATAATCACCTTTTAAGAATCGTAACAGGCAAAATTCAACATGATCCTGGTAAGACTACTTGGATCTGGGCATGGTGGCACATGCCCATAATCCCAGCACTAGGGAGGCTGAGGAAGGAGAGTCGCTGTGAGTTCAATGCCAGCCTGGCTACATAGTAAGCGCAACGCCAGTCTGAACTCCACAGCCAGACCCTGTCTCAAAACAATACGGAACAGTTGACAAAATGATGGATGTGTTGCTGGGCTCAAGGTTGTTTCCTGGATATATCCCGGCCTAGTTTTTGCTTCAGTGTTGCTAGATAGGAGATGGGAGGACGCCAACAAATAAGCCACATCTTTACCCCACAGTGAGAGAGCTCACCTCTTGGATTTTACAGCACAGCAGGGGCCACGTTCAGCCGTCCACGCGCAAGCCCCTGCCACCACTGCCTGCCTCTGCGCTGGCCCAGGAGAGGATCCAGGTCAAGGCCTTGTTCGACTTTCAGCCCCGGGAGCCCTGCGATCTCGCACTGCAGCGAGCTCAGGAGTACCTGGTGCTGGAGAAACCGGACTCTCACTGGTGGAAGGCGAGAGACCATCTGGGGTAAGACACGCAGCTTAGCAATTCCTGCACGCCTGAGCGGCTTCGGAACGCAGAAAGCCTCTTTCGCGCATTGGCTTGCCACCTTTATAAATCTACACAGACCAGGGTTTGTTCCTTATGTTTCTCCATTTCACTGCCATGGAGCACGGGGAGTCCTGCAGCCTCAGGATCATGCAGTCCTGCTTGGTGCCAAGGCCAAAAGCTAGGATCGTGCTCGGAACGTAATACGTGCCCAGTTAACAGTGAACAAACGTTCTAGCAGAAAATGAAAGATGAAAGGTAGTTAAAATAGCCTACTGTGCAATGAAGGTACAGCCTGAGGGTGGACAGCAAAGGGAGGAAATGCATTCTAGTTCCTAACATTTCGAAGCAAAGATGTCCTTGTTATTGTGTTCTTGAGCACGTGAGTTACTCAGAGAATTTTTTGATTTATAACATGAAAATAGTAATGGCTATTGTGTAGGTTCTTATTTTGATTTCTACTTGGAAATTTGCCTTTTTACAATTATAAGGCAAGAACAGAAACAGTGCCTTATTCACTTCATATTTCTACAATAATTAGTTTTGAAAGCCAATACTGCAGTAGCTGTGGTATTAACTTGGAAATAAAATTGTCTTGGTAGAAAGTAGATTTTTTTTATTAGTGTCAAAGTAGTATTCTATTAGATGCAAGCAGCAGAATAGAATCTAACCTATTTATTGTGATAAGTTATTAATATTTGACTGTAGTTCTGGGATGATAAAAATTCTGAGAACTGTCTGAGCTCCCTGGGAGAGAAGGTCGGTATTGATTTCCAATATTTGCATTTGGAGCTTATAAATATGTAAGTAGGATGAGCACCTCAATTCCATGCCTCTCTTCTTAATTATATTTTCCTGATGACTTGACCCTTAGCAGTTCTGAATTTAGGTTGAACATGTGAGAGAGACTTTTTAGTGAAAAAAGAGGCATTAGTGAGTTTGGGTCTGTGTAATTAGCTATCCATTTTACCATTTTTTATTTCATAGGTAAATGAATGGCTGTTAAAACAATGCTAAGATTCTTTTTTGTAATTCTTCCAAACCCAGTCTCTTTCCCAAAAGTACATAGTTACTCATTTAGTGAGTATTTTTCTCGGTCATTTGGAACGGGCTTACACACGTGCACTGAAGTTCCTGTAGATTTTACTTCCCTAAATCTTACATACTTCATGCGTTGTTCTGAAGTTGGCATCCATTTTTCAGTAATGTGTCTTAGAGATCTTTTTCTGATTTCAAACACTGGTGAAGGCCTAGAAAGTAAGAAAGCTTTAGCCTGGTAATAGGTGTGTAGAAGGTATATCTTATGTGGAGATCAATTTGTTGTTTCTTCTGAAAGATGTGTGAGTTTGCAGCCTCAGTGGTTCCCTTCTTTGATATCCTTGATTTCCTTAGAGAACCATCCCTGAGCACAAGGATGCATGTATAAACATTCCTTTAAGTCATTGCTCATAACGGGACTGGAGATTTGAATATCTGCGCTATCAACCGCAGTGCCCAGCGAAGCTGTTATCTTTTATAATTGATGCTTTTAAACTAATTACTCATTCTAACTTCAAATGATCATTTCAGTGTCCTTTTTCTGCTTTGATAGTATTTTCAGCTCATAGAAATCACTTAAACTATTCACCCTATAAATTAAGAACTTAGTATTTCCTGTATAGAAATTTTTGTTGAGATAGAAGTGAAAAAAAGTGAACCTTTTTTCTTGTGTTAACAATGTAATCAGTAGAATGAATTGATTTTCCCCTGCATCCTTGGGCTTTTTTTTTTTTTTTTTTAATTTAGGACAGAATCTACAGGGTGTTCAGTGTCTCACTATTAGATCAGACTCGTGGTGTTTCTCCTGTTTACAGCCTTCCAAGCCGTGAGATCACAGGCGCACACCACCACGCCCAGTCTCAACCTCCCTCTCAGTGTGCTCCGGGGCTGGGCCAGCACGGCATGCAGCAGATCGAACCGTAGCTGCTGTGCTCTGCCGAAGCAGGATCCTTGGGCTTTTACAAGAGCCTTCGTCACAGTAAATGTTACCAACAGGCCCACATTTTGATGTTTGCTTTGTCTTTTGTTCTAGGAATGAAGGCCTAATCCCAAGCAACTATGTAACAGAAAACAAATACACCAATTTGGAAATATATGAGTGAGTCTTCTCCTCCGGTGCCCTGGGGGTAACCTACGACAGTCAGGACATTCTGGCAGCTTAAATGTGGCAATACTGTTTTGGGTCTGTAACAGGAAAAGAAAGTAACACAGTCGACAGCTTTAGCAATAAAGAGAGCTCTAATCCTTATTGTGGTTGATGCACCGACTTCTTTTTTCTTAAACTTGTTTTGTTAGGCCACGGTTTTTTTGACAGTGACACTGTGAAGCTAAACACCCACATGGTACTTGTTTTATTGTAAATCTTAAATGAAACATTTACTTTTTAAAATGACATTTGATTTTTCAAGGAATGATAAATTGGATTTACTATGTGCATGACCACATTTTGGCCATGTTTTGATATGCTTTAGAAAAGATAAGAGCAAGGCTCTCTTGCTGTACTTTGGAAAAGCACCAGGCATGTTCACTGAAGTTTTCCATGAAATCTGTTTTATTACAAATATAGATTTGGACAATGAGAGAGAGCTTTATTTTTTTTTTTTTTTTTTAGCATCATACTGCAGGTGGGAGGATTAATTCAGAGGTAGAACGTGGCAGAGCTGAGACGAATCCCGAGTCTTTTTTAAATTTGGAATTTCAGTTTGAGCATCCTAGTGGATGTCAGTGGTGCTAAACACTGGTGACACAACACAGAATCTGCCCTGTTGTATGGAACATAGAGTTTCATTAAGGAAAAGTGGTAGGAGTAAATGTCCTTACACAGTTAGCTCTGTTTACAAGCTCAGTTAGTTACATTTCTTC